TCCATGGATCAAAGGCAATATAACCTTCAAACCCCATTTTTTGGGTTGCATGAGCCTCCCACCAGTCTGCAAATGAAAAACTTCCCAGGACAGAAAAAACTTCTCGAGTTGAAAAGGCAATTCTGAAGCTAGCTTATCCCTTTGGAAACTTTAAAAGGTATCCCCTTTCTGTGTTCCACTGATCCTTAATGGCTTTCAAACTCAGGAAACAGGAAAACTGACCATTGTTTTCAATCCACTCTTTTTAGTATATGAGGAAGGATTACACTTGGCTTTGAAAGAGGGAGAAGAAAAGAACACTACCCTGGTTCAGTTCACGGCAAGTGGATTGAAGAGTCTTACTGGTGATGCTCTCATGGTGATGAATTCCCTTCCTCACCTCCAGCTTCCCAAGGAAATATTTTGCTTAGGATGGACCAACAAAGCAAATAAGACCAGAAAAGGATGGCCCAAGGGAAGGATGATCAGTGCAAGCTGACAAAAGATTCTCCTGCCATTCTGTGGGGCTGACTCACCTCCACCATACCACCACCACATTCCTGCATTGGGTGAGTGAGATCAACAATTACTGAAGACCGGTCCTAAAGAAGGGGTTTCTTTTCAGCCAAGAAATTAAATAAAGGAGCAGATGGTTTGAAATGCCCATTTGAAGCAACCCACTATTAGCCACTATTTGAAGCAAACCACTATTATTATTAGCTTGGCTCAACTCTGAGGCAAAATGACAGTGAGGGCTGAAAGGAAACACCCAAAAGCAGATCAGGTGTTGAGCTGGATAGTCCAATATACAGTAACAGAAAGGAAAATGATTTCTGGTCTGAGATCCTTTCCACTAAGTGGGGGCTGGTGAAAGCCTGCTAGTGAATCTGCAAGGAAGGCCTATGATTTTATACAAGTAGACCTCAGCCAAGAAAGATTATTGCTTTATTTGCCTGGCCATGCTTTAAGCTTGTCTAGGTCATCCTTTCTGTTGCTCCCATGCCTTGTAAAGATTTTTGAGAGCGAGGCCCATGCAACCAAGTCATTCCTTGCTAGTTTGCACTGCCACTTGTACAGCTTGCAAGACAAGCCACAACAACCTCCATGGGACAAGTAAAGGATTCCGACTTCCCCAGCCTGCATAGGATCAGACCACAGAGGTGGAGAATCTTTGGAATAAAGCAAACCTGAAGTTGATGAATGTCACAAACCATCATGACATTTACACCAAACCCCAAGCACTTAACTCTCCGTTTCCTGCACAACATCCAGTAGGAGCTGTATGTCTCTGGATATCTTCAGCTTCCTCCCAATAGAATATCCAAAGTCAGAGAGTCAAAGCTTTCTGAAGGCAATGGCAATGCTGCAGAATAGAGGCACGTCTTTACCTGTGACAATCTGAAAAATGAGCAGCAGGCATATTTTTGTTCACCTTGCAAAGCTGCCTGCCAGCTCTCCCACGGGTTATGCAGCCAGGTTCATGCTCCTGTACTTATCCTCACAAACAGCACTATAAAGCCAGCAACCCAATGCAGACTGGAAAGTGAAAAATTCATGAAAGCGTGGTTTCGCTTGCAGATTCCCTGTTATTAGTGCTATGAGAGTACAACTCTCCTAACAGTGGGCTGGACAGTTAGAAATTAATTGCTGCTTCTGAACATTTAGTACATCTTTGCAAGCAAAATGCAAAAGAAGAGCTAATCTTCAGAGCACTTAGCACAGATGTTCAGATACATATGAATGCCATGTTAATTCTTCATCCCCTTTTTCTCCTCCCAGGGATCTGGTTACAGCCCAAATCACTCGACATCTGTCAGAGCCAGGGTCTCTGGTGTATCTCCCTGGAGTTTCTGCATCCTGGGAACTGTTCTCTTAACAATGGTGCTGCACTGCACCCTTGTGATGATGAAGGCTGGTCACATGCCAAGCTGTGCTGGCCAGAGTGTAACCAGCATGTGAAAGGGCAAGATTAAGGGTCCTCCACCCCTCTGGGTGCTCAAAACTGACTGCACAAGGCCCTGAGCAGCCTAGCACAGCTTTGGAGTTAGCCTCACTCCCAGGAGATGACAGGATAAAAGAACTCCAGCAGCCCCTTCTCACCTAAACCCCACTGTGATTCTATGCCAGCCTTTCCAGAACTAGAGATGCTTCTTGGATCAACACTTGGAACAGAACAATTTTAAGTACAAGCAGAAGGACAAATACCCTACAGCTCTCCTCAAAACATACAAAAATAACAGCTTCTGACCAGTGATAGAGACAGCAAGTATTTGTTGCATATTTGAAAAGCTTGACATTAAAGTAACTTCTATTATCCTAGATACCAAGGCAAATCACATCTTTTAAGTAAGAAATCAAGGTACATATATTGTTATTAATAGGAAATAATATTTCTTACCATTCGTTCCTGTACAAAATAAATATGCATACTTCATCACCCATGCACATGAAAAAAACACCTTGCTTTTGTCTGTTGTGAATTTCCTATATAGGACTCATCTAGATACAGACTTTGAAGTCCAGAATGAGGTCATAAAATTATTTCCTTCAACCCAGATCATGAAAGAAAACAGATTCCACCTTTTAAGAGAAACTCATCTTCATTTAAATACTCCTACTACAAAACATCAGCAGTTCAACACTGAGCTTTATGAGCTCAAGTAGTACATTTAAGTTACAAGCAAGATTTTTTCTGGATTTGCCTTGTCTGTGTTGCCATCAGACAAAAAAAAAAACAACAACCTCTCATTATATGCATTTTTGTGATATTTACAAGTTTACCATTATGGTCTAGGATGAGCATAAAGCCACCCTCAGGATAATCTTAGGTTTATTAAACCCCATGAGAACTATGACACAGAAAGGGATCACATACCCCACAGTTTTATTTGTTGCCCCACAAAGCTGTTAAAATATCATTCAGAGCCCTCATCTTTCAGCAATGGATCTTAACCAATGACAACTTCAGTTTATTTACATGCTGATTTTTTTATGTGAATTTGATTTTGAAGTAACTGCTTTTGATACAAACAAGCCTCTAAACTAAAATAAAGATTTTGCTTACAATAAAATAGCAGTTTAGGGTTTTTTTTCCAATTCATGGTGACGTCTGATAAAAAATTACATTGATTTATCCTCTTAAGTACAGGTGCAAGCTTGCAGAACTTCCTTTTGCACCTGTGTTTGTAGGTTATGTGTTAGAAGCCTTTTTATGGTGCTTCTCTTAGCCTACCTGGGAATTTCAAGGAAAGGAGATTGCTTCATTTCTTCCTTTGTGTCTTTGTGCAGAAGTTGACAGATCCACCCTCAGCCTGAGAGTGCATTTGTTCTTTGAATCACCTCTGCCTCATGGCAGCTGCTTTGCTCACCTGCCCAGCAAGGTGGGCAAGGCAGATGCATCACCTCTTTTTGCTCCCCTATGCTGGAGCTCCAAAAACAGAAGTAATGTTAACTGTAAAAACACATTCATTAACACTAGATTTGCCTATATTCTATTGCATTTTCCCAAAAAGCTTCTATTAGAAGTCAATACAAAACAATTTAATGTCATCATGGGATGCAGCCTATGGGATAATGCACAGGAAATGAATGTTGTGTTAATTTAACTTAATGTGAACAAGACTCTAGTGAAAATAGGATACACAACTAAAGCAACAGTAGAGATAATTTTGCTTACAGAAAGTTACTTACCACAGGTAATAAAAATGTTTGCTTAAATTACATTTACCATAGCTTAAGAAAACCTTTATCAGAGACACAGCTCCTGTCTCTTGTGGTGTGAAAGCTGTTTTGGGGAGTGGGTGTAAAACCTCCCTAGTGTGTGGATGGAGAACATATTGCACTGTCTGTACATAACTGTTTTCTGCTGGGGAAAATCCTCAATATTAGAAGAAAATACTATGATAGTGCTTTTACATTTTTAATATTTCAGATAATAATAATAATAATTATTATTATTGTTATTATTATTATTATTATTATTATTTTGGAGTAGACTTTTATTTTTCCACAGCTGTTCTACCTTTTTGTATATAAAAAGTAAGCAATCGCAATGTTATGGAATATCACGAAAAAATATTTTGTGCCCCATCATGGGAGTGAGGAAAGATTTAGAAGAAAAACCTGAAATTGCCAAGCTGCATTGGTGCTCCAGTTGCATTTCTGAGGAGTGTGTGTAGTTGTCATATTCTCATTATGACAATATACAATCCATCTTTCCCCTCAGAACACCATCCAGTGCTGTATCCAAATGTTTCAAGTAATTTTCCTTTGGTACCTTGAGGCAATTTGTTCCCCTGCCACCTGAACCGGGATAGGGAAAGACACGATCCGTTTGCAGTCACAGGCAGAGGGATCACAGCAGAATCTCTTGTCTTTCCCAGTATTGCAGATCCAATTGCAGACTCTTGGTGGAGCAGGATATTTACAAGTTGCTTGTCACTGCACGCTCTTAGTTCTGCGTGTGCCTAAGGAACAGCTCACACTGCTGTTGGAAAAGCACATTTTTTCACTACAACCACTTGTTTCTCTGCCTGTTCTCTGCATAAAGGATGGTAAGAGGACAATGGTACAGGGAGTTCATGTACCCTTCAGTTCCGTTCTCGCCCTCAGCTGAAGAAAGGAAACCGGCATATGCAGTAACATGGCCTAAAAAATGGCTTAAATTAGATATTCAGATATTCAGAAAAAAACTCTTCACTGTGAGGGTGGTGAAGTGCTGGGACGGCGCTGTCAGGACCTCCGGTTACTTCTCTAATAGGACTTAGTTTTTGTTTTTATTTCTCTGCTTGTTTCTTTCGTTCCGCGGAGCGCGCGGCGGCTCCTCCGTTGGGCTCGCTGAGGAAACGGACGAACGGCCGCGCGCTCCGGCGGCTCGGCAGCGGCGGCAGCGGCAGCAGCGCCTCTCTCGATCGGTTTTCCGCTCGACTTTCCGCTCGCTCTCCGTCCCCTTCTCCCTCTCACACTCACTCTACTGCCGTCCCGTGCCGTGCCGTCCCTCTCAGCCTCTCCCAGCCCGGCTTATGCCGCGTCCCGCAAGGCGCCCGTGGGCGAGTCGGCCCCCGGCCCGCCCCTGTCGGGCCTGCCGCGGTCCCACCTCCGCCAGGTTCTCTCCGCACTGCTTGTGGCGCCTCTGGAAGAGTTTCTGGAAGAGTTCCTCGCTCTGGTGGTGGCGGAGCGGCACCGTCTTCTGGCTCCGCCTGGTGCGGGCCCTGGCCCGGCCCCGAACGAGGCCCCTCCCCGAGCCGCCCCGTTGCCGCCCGGCTCCCGCCCCGTCGCCGGCAGCTTCCCCGAGCCGA